TTTCTTTCTTTCTTTCTTTCTTTCTTTCTTTCTTTCTTTCTTTCTTTCTTTCTTTCTTTCTTTCTTTCTTTCTTTCCTTCCTTCCTTCCTTTTTCCTTCCTTCCTTCAGTCTTTCTTACTCTTTCTCTCTTTTTTTTTACTATCTCTCTTTCTCTGTTTTTTTCTTTCTCTTTGTCTCTTTTTCTTTCTCTGTCTTTCTTTGTGTCTTTCTCTGTCGCTCGCTCGCTCGCTCGCTTTCCCCCTTCCCTTCCATTAATCCAATTTTTCATTTTTCGGGATCTTGTCCGTTTAAGCGCGTGCCCGACCGACCGACCACTTTCGGGTCCGCAGGAGGCGCGCGTGCGCGGCCTTCGCCCACCTTCTTCCGCAAGGCGAGGTGCCGTCTCGAGCATTAGAGGCCGGGGAATTGTTTCCTCGGAGCATCGCCCCTCAGGGCGGAAGTTGAGGGGTTGTTGGGTGTTTTTTTTAACTTATTTTCTTTTTTGGACGGAGCATTTTGCGGTGGGGTGAGTCTGCCTCGCCTTATTTGGGGAGGGGACGGCTTGATTCCATCTGTGGTTATTATCACCATCATTATCGTTGTTATCATTGTTATAATCATTATTATCGTCATTATAGTTACTGTCATTGTTTTATTGTTTGTTGTTTTATCATTATTGTCATTGTTTTATTTTTGATATTATAATTGCCATTATAATGTTTGTTTTGTTGTTTTGTTATTAATATCATTATCTTTATTATCATTGTCATTGTCATTATTGTTTTGTTTGCTGTTTTCTTGCTATTGTGTCATTATATCATTGTCATGATAGTTTTGTTTGGTTTTGTAGTTTTTATATTATTTTTATTCATTAAACATGAAAGTCAACTGAACATTTCAAATGTAACACAAATATCACAAAAATTATTATTACTCATCACACAGTCAACCAGCTGTTCAGACATTATTATTATATTATTTCTTTTATTAATTAAACATGAAAGTCAACTGAGCATTTAAAATGTATCACAAATATCACAAAAATTATTATTCATTGCACAGTCAGCTAGATGTTCAGACAACATTTATTATTATTATTATTATTATTATTATTATTATTATTATTATTAGTGTTCTTCTGGGGTTCACTTTTTTTCCCTTTAAAAGGAGGTCCATGGAAGAGTTAAATGAAATAGGCCAGAATGACTTCAATGCCTGGAATCTTTAAATCAGAATAAAGTTTTCATTATTCTGTTTCTTTTCTTCTTGTTTCATGCGATTAGCATATTTTAGCATGTTTTAATGTGTAAGTAGTCCTCGACTTACGACCATTCATGTAGTGACTGCGATATTCCAACAGCGCTGAAAAAAAGTGACTTATGACCTTTTTTCACAAGACCATTGTGGCATCCCCTTGGTCACGCGATCAAAATTCAGACACTTGGCAACCGACTCATATTTATGACGGTCGCAGTGTCCCAGGGTCATGGGATTGCCTTTTGTGACCTTCTGAGAAGCAAAGTCAATAGGGAAGCCAGATTCACTTAACCACCAGGTTGCTAACTTAACAACTGTAGTGATTCACTTAACAACTATGGTAAGGTTGTAAAATGAGGTAAAACTCACTTAATTACTATCTCACTTAGCAAGATAAACTTGGGGCTCAGTTGTGGTTGTAAGTCAAAGACTATCTGTAATGATCTTCATTTAACGACCCCAAAATCCCTTGCAGGGTGGAGTCTGAGCAACTGAATGGAGCAGTGTTTTACTGGCCGGATGCCCTTTCTATTGCCAATGCAGAGTTTTGTTTAGCAGATATATTCCTAGAGTGCCCAGAGAGAGAAATATCTGCCTCTACCTAGGATCAAACTCACAGCTTCCTGATTGTGAGGCAAAAGTTCACCTCTCCCAAGGACTATCTGTAATACACACTCAATTTTTTTTCCACTGCATGTACTTTTCTTAACTATCCTGAGAGTGTCAATCTAATTTTGGATATTGGAATGCCAGTTCTCTTGTGCCATTTAATGACCACAGTAAAGTTCAGTGGAAAGTGCTATGCTTTGTTTGTTTGATGGAAAAGGGATTATGACCCTTCCATCCCATCTCTTGGTGTGCCACCCTCCCTCAAAGGGTTTTCTTAGAGGTCTGGCATAATTTTACATTTTCAAAGAACAACCCTGTGAGGTAGGTTCACTTTGTGTCTGTGTGTGTGTGAAGAGAGAGAAAGAGAATCGGGTTTGAAGTCACTAACAGAGGACCAGAATGGAGATAGGATTTGAACTTGGCTCACCTACGTCCAAATTATTAAATGTCAAAAATTTGAAATGTTTCAAATCCAGTCTCAAAAGGATAATCCTTATGATCTTTCTGACTTGGCAGCTGAATTGATCTGAACTCGTTTGTTCTGAGAAATAAAGAGAATTTTTTTTGACAGTGAGAACAATCAACCAATGGAACAGAAATTGCCTTCAGAAGTTGTGGGAGCTCCATCACTGGAGGCTTTCAAGAGGGGATTGGACTGCCACCTGTCAGAAATGGTGTATGGTCTCCCACTTGGGCAGGAGTTTGGACTAGATGACCTACACAGTCCCTTCCAACTCTTAATCAGTTTCTTATCTATCCCCTAATAGCTTTTCTTTTGAATGGATGATTTCAGTCCTTTTTTTTTCAAAATTGGGATTGTTTAAAAGATGTAGATTTCAACTCACAATTCCCCAGCCAGCCTTACTGGTAATGCAAGTAGTCCTTGAGTTACGACCACAACTGAGGCCATTGTCAAGCCCAAAATTGACATGTGTAGCCATTTTAGTTAGGCTTAATATATATTTTTCTTACTTTCTCTGTGGTAGTAATGTGGGGAAGGGTTTGGGCTTGCCACATTCCTAAGGGGGGAGGAATGGAGATAAAGAGAGTTGTTTTGGCTAGGTGATTCTTCCCATTTGGAAAATGAGCTATCTGTGCTGGGGCCCCTTGAGGTGGAGATTTATGACATCAAGCAATGAATTACTTCTATTAGAGAATATGACTTTTGGGGGTTGTTTCTAATTTGTAATATTGTGGGGTAATTCCAGGTTGCATCAGATCTGGAATTACCATGGACTTTGCCAATTTGATGCTTTCCTAAATAAAAAATCTTTTTGGAAGACGGATTTTATACTTTTCTTTTTAAATGGATTTCAGCACTTGGAAACCTGACAGCCATGTTGCTAAGTAAAACATTTCTTAGGTGAGTTTTGCTCCTTGTTACGATTTTTTGGGGGGCCACAGTCATTCAGTGAATCGTTGCATTTGTTAAGAATATGGTTGTTAAGTGAATCTGGATTCCCCATTGACTTTGCTCGTCAGAAGGTCACAGAAGTGGATCAAATGACCTTGGGACACTGAAACCGTCAGTGTGAATCAGTTGCCAAGCAATCCGAATTTTGATTGTGTGACCACGGGGATGTGGCAATGGACATAAGTGTGAAAAATGGTCATAAGTCGCTTTTTTCAGTGCTGTTGTAACTTTGGACAGACACCAAATGAACTATTGTAAGATGAGGACTATCTCAAAAGGATTATAACATTGCTTACTTCAGCTATTTATGAGTGGCTCTGGTTGCTTCTGCATGGGAGAGAGAGCTAAATCAAGTCAGTACAGGTAGTCCTCGACTTACAACCACAATTGTGCCCAAAATTTCAGTTGCTAAAGACATTTGTTAAGTGAATTTTGCTCCATTCTACAACCTTTCTTGCTTCGGTTGCTAAGTGAATCATTACAGTTGGTAATTTAGTAGCCCGGTCGTTAAGTGAATCTGGCTTCCCCACTGACTTTGCTGGTCAGAAGGTCTCAGAAGGGGAATCATATGACCACACCCCAGGATGCAGTAGTGGTCATAAGTTTGAACCAGTTGCCCAGCATCTGAATTTTGATCGCAAGAGAATGAGGACGCTACAAAGGTTGCAACTGTGAAAAAGGGCCATAAGTCACTTTTTGCTGTTGTAACTTTGGACGGTTACTAAATGAACTGTTGTAAGTTGAGGGCTACCTGTAATGACATTTAGGAGTTTAGCTAGCATGTCCAGGAGGGATAGATGCTAGAAGCTATGAAACACGGGGTGACCTTGTGACAGATCTGGGTTAGCTTCTATAGAACAGGGTTGTGAAACTTGATTTCATTGCAGGCCGCATTAGGATTGTGTTTGACCTTGGGCGTGGGGGTGGCCTGAGTGGGCGTGGCCAGCTTGACGTCACTTGTGTCACCGGTGACTGGTGGCCCAAGTGCTCTGCCAGCAAAAATGGGCTCCCAAGTTCTGTTTTCAGCCGCAACAGCCTCCTGCAGCCCTCTGCCAGTGAAAACGGAGCCCTCCTGGGCCCCATTATTGGCCACAACAGCTTCTTGCAGCCCTCTGGCAGTGCCCCCAACCCCTGAGCTCCATTTTTGCTGGCAAAGGCACCACAGGCCAGTCCTTTGCTGTTTCCAGGGTGGCCCCACGGGCGAGATCTAAGCACCCTGTGGGCCGAATCCTGTCTCCTGGGCTTTGAGTTTGACCCGTGCTGTCAAGATCAACAGGAAGATGGTTGTATTCACCCAATAGTAGACCAAGCTTTTCAGCTGTATATTTAGTCCTCGATTTACAACCATTTGTTTAATGATTGTTTGGAGTTCAAACGGAACCGAAAAAAGTGACGTGCCACCATGTCTCACACTTACAACTATTGCAGCATCCCCATGGTCACATGATCAAATTTCGGATGCTTGGCAACCAACCCTTATTTATGATGGCTGCAGTGTCCCGGGGGTCACATGTCACAGTTTGCGAACCTTCTGATGAGCCAAGTCAGTGGGGAAATCCAGATTCACTTAACAACCGTGTTCCTAATGTAATAACTACAAGGATTCTCTTAACAATTGTGGCCAAAAAATATTTGTTAAAAAAGGGGGAAAACTCACTTTAGAAACGTTTCACTTAGCAACATAAATTGGGTTTCATTATAGCCATGATTCAAGGACTATTGGTATTAACATTGTACAATGGGCCCAAAACTCACTTAACAAATATTTCGCTTAGCAACGTAAATTTTGGCCTCAAATGGGATCGTGAAGCAAAGATTACCCAGAAAGTTAGAACAATTTCCCTTCTTTCTGATAAGGTCTCCAATCTTGGCAGTTTTAAGACTTGTGGACTTCAACACCCAGAATTCTCCAGCCAGCATACCTGGCTGGAGAGTTCTGGGAATTGAAGTCCACAAGTCTGAAAGTTGCCAAGTTTGGGGACCTGTGTAATAAAGGAAACAGCTGGATTTGAGGCTGCAGAAACATCATAAATATTCTGTGTCTGGGTTTCCCATTGCAGGATTCCACCATGATGCCACGACGTGGCCGGGGGAGACGACTCCAACTTGCAGCGTTCAACAGGAGGACTCTACCTGTCTCTCTTCAGCGGTCCCCTTTCTCTCATGCGATGGAAGGAGGAGTATCTGATGAGCCTTTGGACATGGTGGTTGCTCCCGCTGGTTCGTTGGAGCCAGGGGTGAAAGAGGAGACGCCCTACCCATCCTCGGTGCATGACCTGTTCTCCTATTTGAAGGAAAAAGAAGAGGAGGAAGAGGAAGAGGTGGACGCTGCTGACCTTGGGAGCTTTTCACCCAGCCCTTCTGTCTCAATGATGGTGAAGCAGCACTGCCCTTCCGAAGTCCATGAGATGCTGTCCTACTTAAAAAAGGAGGAAGAGGAGGAGGAAGAGGTGGCCAAGATAGCGTCTCTGTCTCCACCGCGTATTCTTCCACTCCCTGCTCCCCCTTCTGTTCTACCAGCCTATGCATCTACAGCTACGCTGGGCAGGTCCATCCTTCCGGGAGGAAAGAAAATGTTCCATTACTTCACCCCCGTAGCCCACCTCTCTACTTCAGCTCCCCCCAAACGGGGCCATGATCAGGCGGTATTAACGGATGGAGTCCCACCATATGTGCAGAAGAAAACCACCTCAGCAGTTTGGGATTACTTCACTCTGGACCCACGGGAACCCTGCGTGGCTGTTTGTAGTATGTGCCAGAAACGGGTGAGGAGAGGGAAGGATGGAGGCACCCGACCAGGCACCACAGCCCTTCATAAGCACTTGAAGGTCCACCATGGACTTCACCTGCCAGGCGTCGCGGTGGTTCCTCCATCCCTGCTGATGCCCCTGAAGGAGAAATCCCACCGCACTCCCATGCTGGTCACTGAGCCGTCTCCTCCAATCTTCCCATTTGCCCAGCCAGAGAGTAACCAACCCTACTACCCTCCAACCCACCCAACAGCCATCCAGTTGGCTTCCAGTACCGCTTGGATGCTCGCGGTGGACATGCAGCCCTTCTCCTGGGTGGAGAGTGAAGGATTTCGTCGGCTGATGGCCACTGCCCAGCCTCGTTGGAGGATCCCTAGTCGGGCATTCTTTACCACCAAGGCAGTGCCTGAGTTATCCAAAGTGGTGTCCCGGGCCGTACGGCAAACTGTAGCCTGCAGCGTCGGCCGCACAGTCCATATCACAATAGACACCTGGGGAGAAAGGCAAACAGCCATGTACATGTCAGTGACAGGACACTGGATTGCAGACTTAGCAGGCACCCTTGCCAGGCAACATGCCACTCTGTCGGTGTGCACCTTTGAAGGCTGCTGTGCCCCAGAAGACATCTGCCACAAACTGCAAGAAGTCCTCCAGGATTGGCTGTATGATCTGAAGACAGGGAGCGTAGTGGCCGACAGCGGAACCAACACAGCAAGGGCGGTGCGAGAACTGCACCTCAACCACGCTCCTTGCCTGGCCCGTTGTCTGAAGCTGGTCACCAAAGCATTTTTAGCCAGGGATTCGCAAGTCGGACGTCTCCTGAAGACTTCCAGGAGGATCTGCAGCTGTTACCATCGCTCGGCCACCGTCCGACAGCGTCTCCTGGAAGTGCAGGCCAACTTGGGCTTGCCTCAGCCTCTGGGGCCAAGCGCTCAAGCGAGGTCCATTTCCACCTTGCTAATGTTGGAGTGCCTGTATAGGCAGCGCCGAGCCATTGTGGCCATGCTGGATGAAGACGAAGACGATTCCCACCTGCTCTTGGCACCTGCAGACTGGAAGGTGATGAAGTGCTTGGTGGAGATCTTGAAGCCATTTGAGGATGCCACTGCGCTGCTTATTCAGCCTGATGCAACTCTCTGCCAAGCCCTTCCTCTCCTATGGTTCTTGGAGGAGCAACTCAGGGCGTTGAGGACCAGATACTACCAAGAAAATAATAATACTGCAGCTCACCTGACCACGCAGGCGTTGGACTGTCTTGAGGCTGACAATCAGCTGAGAGAAATAAAGGACAGTATGATGTATCGGATCGCAGCCTTCCTTGACCCCCGATTCAGAGACATCACCACCATGAAGCTCGGTGGGACAAACCTGAGTGATGCAGCCCTACTGAAGGAGCATATCGTTGGCTTGGCCACCAGGTCCTACGTGCCTCCTGGAGGAGCATATATGGAGTTCTCGCCCGTCAGCCGCTCTTCTCAAGAACAAAATGCCAGTTCTGGCAGCTCAGCGGCTTGGGAGTTCACCATGAAACGCTGGAGGGCCATCACCAAAAGTGATCCTGCCTCCAGTTTAGCTTCTGAAGGAGGAGCAGCCGTAGCCCTTCGGGAAATGGAAGAGTATCTCCATGACAATGTGGACCATATCGGAGAAAATGCGGACCCAATGCTGTACTGGCAAGGGAAGATGGCGACGTGGCCGTCTCTCTTCAAGGTAGCTGTGTTCCACTTTGGGTGCCCACCCACATCTTCATCATCCTCTGAAGAGCCCTGCAGTGCTCCCAGTTCATTGGGGCCAAGAGACCACACCAGGAACCTCTCCCCAGCCAACGTTACAATGTTCACGTTCATCCGTAGGAACCGCCACCTCATCCCGCAAGATTGGAGGCTCTCCCTTGGAGATCTTTCTTCCCAGAGTCCCCTGGGCCCAAGAGAGGACCTGAGTGTGGAAGAGGAAGATGACCTTCTAAGACTGGATGAAGAGCAGGAGGACAAGTGATGAAAACATCTGGACGTGAATCGCTACAGTGGCATACCCTTATTCATTTGTTACAGCCGGAATAACTGTCTTCTTGTACCTTATAGAGATTCTTAACACTTGTTAAAATTGATTGGAGGTTCCAAATGGCACCTCTGAATCAGTAAATGAAGCCTCAGTCACGCAGGCCAAAAGTATCTAATAATGGTTAAATCATGGCATCTGGACCAAAGTTTGTTAAACAGATACTTCATTACTCATCCAAGTAACTTTTCAGTCTTTTTTTTTTAAATAGTTGTTGGAATGTACTAACTCTTGCCATACAAACTGCAAGAGTTTCTCCCCAAAATGTTTTTCAATGCGTAATGAAGACTCAATCATCCAGGCCAAAAGTATCTTAAGGTTAAATCATGGCAACTGGACCAAAAGGTGGTTAAACTGAGACCTTTTGTTACTCGTCCAAGTAACAAGAGTTAGTACGTTCCAACTACTTTTCGATTCTCCGCCTAACTTTTTTTTTTCAATTTTGACCGAAGAAGTTACTTTGATGAGTAACGAAACATCTCAGTTTAACAAGCTTTGATCCGGTTGCTCTGATTTAACCTTTTTACACCTTTGGAATCAACTATACTTCTTCTGGTCTGAGACTCTTATATTTATATTGGTGGTAGTGTGGCAGTATCTTCCCCATTTCACCAGTGGACGTGCAGTTTCTGTATTTTCAGTACTTGGCTGATAAAATTCTCGAAACAGAGTGAGGTTCTCCCTTTAGGGAAACATAATATTCTGCCTTTTTAACATTTCTCAAAATATTTCATTCTTCTAGGAGAGGGATGGGTGCTAGCTTTTTACAATGCTTAATTTAGAACTTCGAGAACAGATAGCAATGAATAAGAAAAACTAAGATGCCTGGAAAGTAATCAGTCCTGAAAAAGGGTTATTAAGAATATATGGAACATATTTACAGTGTCAGGATACTACCCTAAGTAGCCAGATGAGGCCAGATACTGGAGAAGTCTTCTGAAAATAACCCACAGAAGGGTTGCTTTCATTGGGCAAATTTTAGAGCTTTGCAATGTTTTCCCCTCGATTTAGACATCAGCAAAGTTTATATACATTAGGACTGGGTGTCTAGTAGGCACAGAACAATAATGGCAAGAAGGAAATTATTATTTGTTTGAGGTTAACAGGTGGAACTGTGTAGTCTCAGGCTTCTGAAAAATAAACAGGAAGATCTATTATGTAGATTTAGCTTGTATAATCAGCCTGTCTGCCAAGTATTAATGGAAAGATGCAAATCAATCACAGGGCAATATATAAGGTACAGGTAAGACCTCAACTTATGACCATAATTGAGGCTAAGCTAGACAATTGTTAAGTGAGTTTGGGCCCATTTTACGATCATTCTCGACGTTGTTAAGGGAATCTGGCTTCCCCATTGACTTTGCTTGTCAGAAGGTTGCAAAAGTGGATCCCATGACCCCGGGAGACTGCAACCATCATAAGTAGAATAAAATTAGAGTTAGAGTTAAAACAGAACAGAATAACAAAATAACAGAACAAAACAGAATTTTTTATTGGCCAAGTGTGATTGGACACACAAAGAATTTGTCTTGGTGCATAGGCTCTCGGTATACATAAAAGAAAAGATACATTCATCAAGTCAAGAATCATCAGGTCCAACTCTTAATAGTTATACGGTATAATAAGCAATCATACTAGGAAACAGTCAATATAAACTGTAAGGATACAAGCGACAAAGTTACAGTCATACAGTCACAAGTGGGAGGGGATGGGCGATAAGGAGTGATGATTAATAGCAATGCAGACTATAAATAGTTGAACAGTATTGAGGGAGTTATTTGTTTAGTAGAGTGATGGCTTTTGGGAAAAACTGTTCTTGTGTCTAGTTGTTCTGATGTGCAGTGCTCTATAGCATCATTTTCAGGGTAGGAGTTGAAACAGTTTATGTCTGGGATGTGAGGGGTCTGTAGATACTATTTTCACAGCCCTCTGACTCGTGCAGTACACAGGTCCTCAACTGAACGCAGGTTGGTAGTAATTGTTTTTTCCCCCCCTGCAGTCCAAATTATTCCCTAACCATAATTATTGTCTTATCCTATCCTATTCTAAATATGAACAAGTTGCCCAGCATCTGAATTTTGATCACGTGACCCTCAAGATGCTGTGACCGCTGTAAGCCTGAAAAATGGTTATAAGTCACTTGTTTCACTACCACTGTAACTTAAGGCAGTGGCTAAACAAATGGTTGTAAGTTGAGGACTACCTGTAACTTGATTGAAGATAAGACTTTGGCCTTCCAGGTATGGACAGAATCGCTCTTTGTAAAAAGATGGCATGACCCAGGGCCCCCGAGAGGATTATTTAATTGCTGGAACAAGACTGGGCCCCTCACCTATACATTAAGTTAACATCTACCCTCCCCCTCCAGACCATCCTGTGGATTTTGCATTACTCCCTGCACCGACGTCAAGTAACTCCTAACCAACCAAGAGGCTCGTTAAAAGGGGGGAGGGTTCCAGGGCAGCGAAGCAGATTGGGAAGCGGGGACGGGGGGGCGGGGTGAGGATGAAGTACGGCGAAGCGGTGTTGGAGTCCGCGCAGCCCACAAGTAGATGGGGTTTTTTTCTGACTGAGAGAAGAATTATTCACTCTAGTCTTGCAATGGTGAAGCTATGGCATGCATGCCAGGCGTGGCATGCAGAGCTTTCTCTGAGGGCATGTGAGCTGTCACCCCAGCTCAACTGCCGTGCATGCATGTGCCTCCCACCAGCTGCACATCCACAGGGGGCATGTGGGGGATGTGGGACGTTTGTGTGGGGATTCATGGCGCGTGCACAGGAAGGCACATGCATGTGTGGAGGGGTGGGGAGTATGTATGGGGCACACGCTCAGGGACACATGCATATGCATGTGGGACACAGACACATTGCATTTTGGGGATTTCTGGCCTCCAGAACTCGGGGAGGCCGTTTTTGCCCTCCCAAAGGTTCAAGGAAAGCCTCTGGAGCCTGGGAGAGCGAAAAACAGGCCTCCTGGAAGTTCCAGAAGGAAACAAGCCCATTTCTAGCCTTCAGAGAGCCCCCAGAGGCCAGGGAGGCTGGAAACACACACACACACACACACACACACCCTGCGGTCCATTTCTGCTCCTGGGTGGCCCAGGAGGCTGACTAGGCCATGCTCACCATGGCCACACCCACCCAGCAACTAGACAGAGAACCGGTTCTTAAATTATTTGAAGTCCACCCTGGCCATAATATGGATGAAGAAACAGCTTTGATATGTGTGTGTGGGTGCTGTTTCTCCCCCAACAGAATTCAGCAAGGTTGTGAATTAGGTTATTAGCTGTTGGAGGTTAGGCATTGCCTTCATCCTTGAAGAAGACATTATTTTATTCCAGACTTTTGAACTGGATATTTATTGAGTGTTTTTATTTGTTCTGGGCTCTGGTCTTCGACTAGTAAGCTTGATTTGATGGATGCTGTAAGCCTGAAATAAATTTTCTATCTAGAAAGAGCGATGGATTCCACTCAAATATTTCTCCCCCCATTTTGCTTTTTGAAATGACATGCTTCTGATTACATGTTTGGAAACATTATCTTTTTATTGTTCACATAAAGGAAAGCTGGCTTTGCCACCCTTTTTGACAATAAATATTAAGAAACAAAGCAAATATAATATCTTTAGAACACATCTTAGAGCAGGTATTACAAAGCTCTCAAATATGCAAAGTGCTGGGTTTGCCCGCTTTTATATCTCGTTTTAAAATATGCAGCCCAACACATGCGAATTTGTCAAGATTCAGCTGTTTTTGTTTTTCCAATAGAGAAAGGACCAAAAACAGCTTCTGCCGAAACCCGGGATCGAACCAGGGACCTTTAGATCTTCAGTCTAACGCTCTCCCAGCTGTAGTTTTGTTGGTTTCTCTTTTTCCCTGATAGAACTGTTACATTTTAAGCATATTAATGCTCTTTAAAACTAGTACTGTAAAACTTAAGGTACACCAACATATATTTTGTAACCAGATTGTAGCACTTGTTCCCTTTGCAACGTTGTTGCATTAGTGTGGGCTCCCTTAGCAGAACATAGTATCTTGGTTTGTTAATGCTGGTCTCAAAGCCTTTATCAAATTCTGCCAGATACAATTTAAATACAAAGATTGCAAATTCAGTCCAGTGGTCGATTGCAATCCCGTGTGTGCAAAACACGCCAATAAGGACCTACCAACATTTAAAACATTTCTTATGACGTCTTAAGGCTGCCGAATTTGAGAAATATTTTAATCATTAATAAAAAATTAATAATTCCGGGGGGGGGGGCATGTTCATTAACGTTGCGGAGTTTAGAGAAATGTCTGTAGCGATTCTCAGTCCTCCAGGTCATAGTTGTCCCAAAGTGCTTTCTAATAAGGCAAGTGGACTTCTCCAGAGCTGAAAAAACTTCTTGGATGAGAAGCGAAATATCTTTAAAAGATAAAAACAAGAAAGTAAAAAAAAAAGAACCTTTGGGACAACCATGACCTGGAGGACTGGGAATCTCTACAGACTTTCAGCTATACAATTTGGGATGAACACCCTTTGGATGGTGCGGGAATAGGAATGGATTTCCAGAGGAAAAATTGCAGACTGCAGGAACCAGAAGCACTAGGGTGACCATGAGGACACAGATAAACCTCCAAGTGCTTCAGGATGCAAATGACCAGCTGTCTGCAAGGAGTATAAATCCTTCCCTTCCCCACCATCTTGTCAGAGCTGAGGAAGCTTCTTGGAAGAGAAGTGAAACGTCTTCAAAAGAAAACAAAATCCAGTTGCCCCCTAAAAAGCATTTTGAACCAAAAGCATGTGATTGAATTACTCTAAAGCCTAAAGATGGAAGGGATTTAGCCCAGCTAAATCCTCCAAATCTCCAGGCTTTTGAAAGCTACGTTCTCCCCCAGGCCAATAACCAAAGGATCCCAGTTCAGACTCTGGTTTAGACTAGCGCAAACATGAAGTGAGTCTTTCAAGTTTAAATTAAGTGCTTGGTTTATTTAAGGGAGACGAGAAGAATCATCCACTCCTTTGCTTGCAATAGAATATTTTATGTTACCAGACTTGAAATTTTGGATCTAGACAACCTAGAACTATGCCGCCTATGGTCTGACCTATGCTTAGTACACAAAATTTAGTCTGCTACGATGTCCTGTCAATAACTACTTCAGCTTCAAGCACAATAACACAGGGGCAAAGATAAACTCAAAGTAAACTGCTCCAAACTTGATTGCAGAAAATACAATTTTAGCAAGTGATCAGCACCTGGAACTACCAAACTTGTTACATTCTCAAACCCCCAAAACTTTTAACCTTAAACTGTCTACCGTGGACCTCACTCCATTCCTAAGAGGTTTGTAGGGGGGGGGTGCATCAGTGTCTACTGTTCCCATTTATTATCTATACTTATGTATTATGTTCATACTTAGTTGTTTTCTCATACATGCTTGACAGACTAAGTAAAAATAAAATAAGTTGACTCAAGCTCTTTCCAGGAAAGGGTGGGTGGCTCTTAAAAGAGCCTTTGGGTGTCGTTCTTAGCAGCCGAGAGGGAGCAGGCAGGCGGGCGGGCGGGCGGTTGGGCTCTACTTCCCTTTGGCCTTGTGGCTCTCGGTCTTCTTGGGCAGCAGGACGGCCTGGATGTTGGGCAAGACGCCTCCCTGGGCGATGGTCACTTTGCCCAGCAGTTTGTTCAGCTCCTCGTCGTTGCGGATGGCCAGCTGCAAGTGGCGCGGGATGATACGCGTCTTCTTGTTGTCCCGGGCCGCGTTGCCCGCCAGCTCCAGGATTTCGGCCGTCAGGTACTCCAACACGGCGGCCAAGTAGACGGGCGCCCCGGCTCCGACTCTCTCCGCGTAGTTGCCCTTGCGAAGCAGCCGATGCACACGGCCCACGGGGAACTGGAGCCCGGCGCGGGAAGAGCGAGTCTTGGCCTTAGCTCTGGCTTTGCCTCCTTGCTTGCCGCGTCCAGACATACTTCCTTTTCCTTTTTTCTTTTCCCTTTCCTTGCAAAAAGCAATCAGCTCTTTCTAAACCGAGCAGGCTAAAAAGATAATGGCTCAAGAAAGGCTCCCGCTACCTTTTTATTTTCTCACAGAGATTCAAATCGGCGCTTCCTATTGGCCGGCGCCAGAAACGAAGCGGCGTGGCCAATGAACGAACGGCACCTTCTTCGCATCCAATGAAAAAGCAAAGGCGTGTCAGTGCCATCGTTGAGTTAGACCTCCGAAAAGCGGCCAATCGCGGGACGCCAAAGTTTTCATCCTTCCCACGAGTTGAATAAATAGAGCGGTAGAGTTGTCACCCGAGATCGCTTTCTAGTTTCCTCTCTCTTATTATTGTTTCCCGCGTGAAGTGCTGTCTTTAGCAGGATGCCCGAGCCGGCTAAATCCGCTCCGGTGCCCAAGAAGGGCTCCAAGAAAGCCATCACCAAGACTCAGAAGAAGGGAGACAAGAAGCGCAAGAAGAGCCGCAAGGAGAGCTACTCCATCTACGTCTACAAGGTGCTGAAGCAGGTCCACCCCGACACCGGCATCTCCTCCAAGGCCATGAGCATCATGAACTCCTTCGTCAATGACATTTTCGAGCGCATCGCAGCCGAGGCTTCCCGCCTGGCCCACTACAACAAGCGCTCCACTATCACCTCCCGCGAGGTCCAGACGGCCGTGCGCCTCCTTCTGCCCGGAGAGCTGGCCAAACACGCCGTCTCCGAAGGCACCAAGGCTGTCACCAAATACACCAGCTCCAAGTAAAGCTGTTTTCCCAGAGCAAACACCCAAAGGCTCTTTTAAGAGCCACCCACTTTCTCAACGAAAGAGCTGTTCTCTTTGCTTTTTTACTTCAGGAGAAAAAACAATGTACATAGCTACATGCCAGTTCATACCTAAATCGTGATTTATTTTAGGGCGGAGAAGGAGGCGGGGGGGGGGGGGCTTTTCTATCAGGGCTGAGGGGACTTGCATTTTAATTTAAGGTTGGGGGGGGGGGGTGGCTCCCTTGCATTTCCTCCTGACTGATAAGATCCACTTCTGATTTTCCCTTTGTCTTAAAGTCCTCAAAATGCTAGTATCATGCAAACATAGTTCACAATCTTTACATAAAGTTATCAAATGGACTGGTGTTGGAAGTTAGATTCTTTTTTCCTTTCCTCACTGGTATGTAGCAAAAATATTCTTCCAAATTGTGCTGCCTCAAGATTTGGTTCCCCTTCTGAAAAGGGAAGGGGGAAAGAAGCTAAATTTGATGTTGCTTAGTGGGTTTTTTTTTCTGTGTCAGGATTTGATTTTTGCACCACCCTGCAAACCTCAAAAGGTGCTGCTCTTTATAGAGTATTTCACTCAGTAATTATATCCAAAAGATGATGACATTCATTTAGCTCTTTTTCATGAGCAAAAGTGGCTTTACTACTTTTCCCAAGGGCCCTAAATATTTCCAGGTTCCCGAAAGTTTAGGTTTGTGGGAAGTTGTCTCTAGTTTTCTCCCTAACAAATTATAAAAAAAGTTCTTTCAGTCAAAAGTTAGTTTTTGGACTCTAAAGAAGGCAAAAAGAATTCCCTTTAAAAGAAGCTTTTTAAAAATCTGCCAAGAAGTGTGTGAGGTTCTTAATTTCCATTTTAAATAAGATTTTTGTGAAGCCGCCTTGTATTTCCTCCTAGCTGATAAGGTCCATCCACTTCAGTTTTCCCTTGTCTTGGGCAGCCCTGAAACTGCTTGTATCATGCAAAGGGCATTTAGTTAGCACAATCTTTGCTTAAAGTTAGCAAATAGGCTGGAATGTAGGAAAACGTTCTGTCAAATTGTGCTGCCTGAAGATAGAATAGAATACTTTATTGGCCAAGTGTGATTGGACACACAAGGAATTTGTCTTTGTGTAAATACTCTCAGTTATACATAAAAGAAAAGATTCATTCGTCAAGAGTTGAGACTCATAAGGTGAAACACTTAATGATAGTCATAGGGTACAAGACTTTGATCCCCCTTTGAAAAAAGGGGGGACCCACTTGAGTTGTTTTAATATTGTCTTACAGTTTAGACTCCCCCACGTAAAATGCCACCTACTTTCTCAAAAAAGAGCTCAAAGTTTCCAAAAGATATTAAGTGTCTTGCATCCAAGAATAGGTTACTAATATGTATCCTTCCTTACATAAGCCAGCTAAGCCTTGTCACATCATTTCACTTTTTGTGTGTGTTGTTTATTTGTTTCTGTCCTTCTCTGCATTACTATTCATTTTGCTCTGTGTTACACAACACACATAGTTTGGAAAGTAAAGCATCTGGCCTTTACAACACGTGTGCAGACCTGAAGTAAACAAAAATGCACGAAGTTCCAATCAAAGTTCAGAAGGAAGTATAGAAAATATTGTCTGTACATCAATGCATAGAAAAAGCATCGAGAAAGCAGTTTTCCTTACTGAATAGAATTCATACAATGAGCTTGCATTCTAAGAGTTGCAATAAAATAAAGATAGGAATTGCTGGTATATTTAGCATCCATTTGATTTACTTTTTCTTCAAAATGGTTCCTCTATGGCTGAACATTTCTGAATCTGTAGGGTCTGTAGTGTAATCTAGTGTGGAAAGGGAACTTCATCAGGACAGTGGTGACACCCAAACAGGAAAAGCCCAAAGGGAACATCAGGCCAGCCATAAAACAAACTTGCATAGGAAAAGAGATTTAATAAAAGGTATTGAAAGAAGCCCCCTAGACAAAAGCCAAGTAATTAAGAAAGCTAGGGAAACAAAAAAAAAGAAATCCCTTACAAACAACAGGTCATGCCAAATCAGCAAAACAAATAGATACAAAATATATTGCAAAGGAGACAGACAGAAGATTGCCACAAAACAAATATAAGAAAACATTAGGATGAAACTGATAATCCAATCAAACCACCCCGCGGAGTTTACCCTCTGGCGGAAATGAAGACAACCCCCAACAGGATTTAAAACATTAAGAAATACAAACACAAGCACACACACACAAAAGGAGAAAAGGTATAAAAATCAGGGGTTTATTATACAAAGATGGCTAGCCCCAGGAACGCAGACTTCTTGCTATCTCTTGCCTTCCTGAAAAATAAACCAGCTTCCAAGCAGTTGTCTGTGTCCTTGCACCGGAGTTCTCCCAGCAGGAAAATCAAGCCCTCAGAAGAAAGGCATTTTCCAGCCTTTCAACACTAGTAATAAACTCTAAAGCACACAGAATAAAACCGCATGCAGTATATAAAAAGGCTTTATTACTTTAGGAGGTATGAATAAGCTATATAAAATCACATTATATATACATACTGTATGTGTGAACAAATTTGATATACAAATACCAATTGATTAGTAATGCTACACAGAAAACGAGTCACAAGAAAGGGACAAGAAATAAAACTTCAAAATAAATATAATTTAACTACTGAAAATCAAGACAGTTAGAAAAACCTTATAACAAAAACCACTGGCAACACACACTAACAGACATAAATTGGAACTTCTGATTACAAAGCATATACAACAACCAGATATATTATTAACCTTTCTGTTTCTTGGCTACTCTATCAGCAGAACAATTTGCAGCTTTTTTAAAAATTAGAATCTAATAGAGACGTGGTAATAAACCATTTCTTTTTCATTTGCCTCTAATAAAATGTATATATTTCCTTCCCCCTGATTACTTTGTAAAAGAAGGAGAATATAAGCATCTCTTAATTCAGTGTTTTGGCAGGCAAAATGAATAAAGCCAGGAGAAAAATAGATAGATGTATGTAGAGCAAAATTGATCTATTTTCTGAGTGTTTTTTTCTAGTGGGATCATCCACATCACATGCCAGAAAAAAGTTTCCTCTCGAATCCAAGCCCTATTTACATGTAAAGTAATACAATGGTTTACTTTGTAATATGTTGCAATTAAAAAAAAAAAAAGAATTAGCATTTCTCTCAAATATGGAAATTTTAGGGCTCTTTGTCCAAAGTTTTGATTTTTTTTTTTTCCTGGTGGAAATTGCCATCCTAAAAGCTATACTGATTTAATACTTTAATATGGGAACCATATTCAGGGAATATAAGAGATATATTCCAGTCCCATTCATAGCTATCTAGGAAGAAATAGGTGTATGTTTATTTTGTCAGTTATTTAAGAATTCAAGATCGATTCTGAGTTGCGATCTATGGGCTTTTTTTTAGCTGCTCATGTCTTGGAAATCTTATAAAAAGCATACTAATCGGCGACTCTCAAATAAATGAATTTTCCAAAAGAAGAAGAAAAAAATCTCACCGCGCTTGACTTTACTTCGCGCTAACAGAAAATGTACTGATTGGCGTGTTTGAAACTCGAGTACTTTTTTCTGATTGGACGAAATCGAATTAACCGGTCATTGCTTCAAGGCGGGAAAGTGGTTACTGTTCCTTCTTGTAGTTTTCCTTCTGGTCGGATCCCTCTGTATATAAGGGACCAGTGCACCGGTGGTAGTCAATAGCTTTTCTGATTAGGAAGAGTGTGAATTGTAGCTATGTCTGGTCGCGGAAAAGGAGGCAAAGGCTTGGGGAAAGGAGGCGCCAAGAGGCACCGGAAAGTCCTTCGCGATAACATCCAGGGCATCACCAAGCCGGCCATCCGCCGTCTGGCTCGCCGCGGTGGCGTGAAGCGCATTTCGGGCCTGATCTACGAGGAGACTCGCGGCGTCCTGAAGGTCTTTCTGGAGAACGTGATTCGCGATGCAGTCACCTACACCGAACACGCCAAGAGGAAGACAGTCACCGCCATGGATGTCGTCTACGCCTTGAAGCGCCAGGGACGCACCCTCTACGGCTTCGGCGGTTAAAACCTTCGAAAACTTAAGCCATAATTCTAACAACAAAGGCCCTTTTAAGGGCCAATCAAATTTTCTTTAAAGAAGCTGTTAGTCACGATTTAAACTTCAAAAGGAAACCTGGGTATTGGGTGTGCGTGAAATTATAAATTTAAACTAAAGTAAAATCAAAGGGTAAACTTGGTACGTCATTTTTTGCCGTCAGTTTTCTGCTTCTACGTTAACCACATTACTGGCGCTTTTATCCTGGTTTCTAAGCAGCTACGGTGTTTGCGTCGTTTCCCATAGTTAATTTGCCCCTGATAGAAAAAGCGAGTCGATGCTAAGATTTACTATTTTAAGTACTTCAGTGACATTTCTGGAGTAAGATTTCTGGGATAGCTGAACTATTTAAAGAAAAAACTAGAGGGGTAAAATAAATGGTACCTACATTACAAAAACGTTAAAATAAAAGCTCTTAGCAAGAGCATTAAGCTTATAAACGTATGCAGGGAAAGCAGCCAATGGCAAGCCTTACGCCAATGTGACAAGATATACTTTTGATATATACAAAGTTGCAAAAGGATGTTTCCTGCGTTCAGTATGCAGTGTGTATCCTGTTTATGTAATGGTTTCATTTAAAAAAAAAAAAAAACCCGAAAAGACAAAGGACAAGTTGCAGTAGAAAGAAACATATTTTCAAGTAGCAGAGTGGCGCAGCGGAAGCGTGCTGGGCCCATAACCCAGAGGTCGATGGATCGAAACCATCTTCTGCTAATAAAAGCGGTTGTTCCTTTTTGTCTTATCAGTTTCAGAGATATCATTTATTTAAAGCATTTATTTAACTTACTATCGCCATCCAGTGCTTAATGTCCTAATTTTTCTCTTTTGCATCACTTTGGGAGAAAGGGAGAGAATGACCAAGGTTAGTTAAGCATGGGTTTCGATCAAAAGATGATTGAGTGTAACCTGCTGTTGCTCTTTAAGAAATGAATCCATTTTATGTGTGTGTAACTGGAAGCTAATATATGAATACACTTGTAAAAATCTGCAGTTTGGCAGCCTTTTCCTGGTTCTGGGCACATCAAATCTGTGGAAATTAATCTGAAATGAAAACAATTGCCAACTCAAATCTCTTCTCATTGGTAGTTGATTAGAAATTTCCTCTGAAAAAAAAAAACTAGGAATGTTGTTTGAAAATAGGCAAAGAAAACTGAATTTCAGCCCATTATATTACTGCTTTGAAATGGCTAATGCATTAGCAGAAATTTCATTTTTAAATCCCTGGGGTTATTATATTTAATGGCTTCATTTTGAAGCTCTCCTCCTTTAGACCTTCCTAAGTGTCTGGATTTTTAAAACTGAAATGGTTAAAACAAGCCAATCTCTTGTTTGCAGGAAGGACAGCAGTACTAGGGGTGATATAACAATATTTTTAGCATTCAGTTGATTAAAAATTAGTACAGGACACGTATTAAAAAGGGGTGGGACTTTGGGACCCCTTTGTGGGCCATTCTCTTGAGTTTTTTTAAAAAAACACCTTCCTTGCAGGCATCCCCATCCAGGAAGTTGTATGTCATAAAGTGCCATTCCCTCAGCCAAGTGACATGATATCTAACTCACAGGTTTAGGAATTTCGTCTGTCAACCCCATTAAAAATGAAACAAAAATCCATTTCAGCCATTGTTTGTAAAGGTTGAGAAAGGATTGTTTGAAGTTAGCACCCACCCCTCTCCTAGGAAAATGAAATATTTTAGGATATACTAAAAAGGCAGAATGTTTCCCCTAAAAGAGAAATAGAAACTCAGAGGCAGAAACTCACCCCCCCTCTCCTTTGTTAATGGGCCATTGGAATCTGGGCAGTCTATTCTACATAACAAAGATCTACCTCCTTCAGGCGGACCCATAATTGGAATCCCAAAGCCCTTTCATCATCCAGCAAGGCTCAACCAAGCCTGGGACTCAGGACACAGTCTACAGAGTTGCCCCTGCATGGCCCCATGGGAGTTTGACAACTAATCAGCTCCAAGGCATGTGATCCTGTCCACCATTAAACCATCTTTCCAAACAGCTTCCATGTTTCCAGGGTCTTTCTTCCCCCATTGGAACTGAAGCCAGAAGGATATTTCTTCCAACAGGATCATGAAACTAGAGATGAAATTTTAGTAGGTTTGCATGATGGCAAGATAAGTTGTAAAAGATGTGAACCTTGAGATGGACCAATCTCTTTTTCTTTAACAGTCACATGTGCTAACCAGCTGCACAGCAAAGACCTCTGGTGTGCAAAGCTGATGAATGATAAGCTGGGTGTATTTTCTGGAGTGTTAATTTGTGCACCTCTAGTCATTTACAATGGTTCTGTACACACGCAAGTTCATTTGGTGACCGTTCAAAGTTACAACAGCACTGAGGAAAGCAATTTACGGCCATTTTTCACACATACGACCATTACAGCATCCCCACCATGGACACTGATTTACATTCGGATGCTTGATGGCTGACTCACATTTATAATAGTGTCCATGTGATCCCCTTTAGTGACCTTCTGACAAGGCAAGTCAAATGGGGAACTCAGATTTGCTTAACAGTTGTGTTCCTAATGGAAGAATTGCAGTGATTTCTACTTAACAAATGTGGGTAGAAAAGTCATAGAATGGAACAAACTCACGTAACAAATTTCTCACTGAACAACATATTTTATTTGGGGGGTGGGGGGAAACAATTGTGGTCATAAGCTGAAGATTTCTTGTACGATCATTTTTCAAAACTATTTATAAACCATATGTAAAACTGTTAGACATGTCAGTTCCTGATGCAATTTCACATATGCTACCCCAGCCTTCATGTCAAGCGTATACATATCTGTGCTTGTAAGTATGTATACATCCCTGAAAACACTCCTCCCCCCCACAAACACACATATATATACATGTCATACTGTACAACATCCTCAGGACAGCAGGTTTGAGGCGTGACTGCCATCCTATTTAATAGTGACATATTATCTTTGCTGCCTTAAGTTACTTATTTTTTAAAAAAGCAAAGGCAGAATTTAAAAATCTAAAATATGAAAGAGAAGAGATGTGAGGAAGAGGAGGAGAATTATTCCATATGGCTTATTTGGTCTGCAGAAATCGTGGCATCATTAGGTCACAGCTTTTTACCTCTTTCTGGTGGTTGTCCAGATATTTCCAGCCAAAAGTTTGCCCTGGTCTTTCTCTTGAGAGCCACACCTCAGTGGACTTATCACATCCTTATTTTCCAAAATGGATGGCTGAAGCTAACTCAGATCATAATTCCAGTGCTTCGATTTATCCCCTTCCCCTCTTCCTCCCTTTTTCCTTCTTAGAAACCAACTTCTGTGCTTGTCTTCCTCCACCGTCCTTCCTTCCCAGAAACCAATGTCCATGTTCCACTCCCTCCAGCGTCTTTGTACTTCTTTTTGTTTTAAACTAGCAAAAGCTACAGCTGAAGTAACGGCAAAGAGAAAAGAGGGAGGGAAATCGCCTTGGGGATGAAAATGGGCTCGTCCGGGATTTGAACCCGGGACCTCTCGCACCCGAAGCGAGAATCATACCCCTAGACCAACGAGCCACTTCCTGGAAAGCGGCTTCCCGTCATCCCCTTCTCAGGCTTATGACATCACCATCGCAGCTGCTTCTACGAAAATTAACGAGTGCCTTTACCCTTCCGTTTTCACGTTCCGTGTGCAATGAAAGGTAGCCCCAAAATGTAGATTTGAGCGCCGGAGGAAGGAAAAGGAATCCACCCACCGTAAAACCTTCCATTGATCTCTGCTGAAAAAGACCCCTTGAAAGCTTTCTAAGCTCCGAATTACGTCAGAAAGCTTTGCAAATCCGCGGCTCTTTTTCTCCGGCACAAAACCCGTGACGTCTATGGAGATTCTCAGTCATCCAGGTCAGAATTGAAGAAGCTTCTTGGAGGAGGGGCGAAGCGTCTTCAAAGAAAAATCAAAAAGTCCAGTTGCCTCTTGAAAACTCATGATCTTTCCAAGATTTTTATCTCTGAGCCAGGACAATGCCAGCTTTATGCAATCTCAGTTTGGGCTTTCCTGCCTGCTGGGGAGCTGTGGAAAGGGTGCCCCTGAGCAAAGGCAGAGGGTGCTCCCTTTAACCCCCACCCCCACCCCGCCTTTTGCAGTTTGCGCTGATGTTTAAGCAAGGAGAAATCCTTTCGTCATGGCTTAAAGCAGCCAAACAGACAAATCCCCAGCCATCCGAAGATACAGACGTGATGCACTGGGGCAACAGAGGAAAGGAATTTCAGTGCAGCATCCTTCTATTACAAACGATGGGTTGCTATGAGAGAAGCATTTAGAAAAACTATGAGCAGCTACTCCTCGTTAGTATAGTGGTGAGTATCCCCGCCTGTCACGCGGGAGACCGGGGTTCGATTCCCCGACGGGGAGGGTGAAATTTTGATTTTATCAGGGGTCTTTAAACATTTCTTAATACACTTTCAATTTCACAAACATTATCAGAGGTCTTTAAACATTTCTTAATAATTAATTAAGATCAATCTCGGTGTAGGAAGGTCGTACAGTACACCTCTTATTATTTTATTTGTTTATTATTTAATTCGTTTTCAACAGCTCAGAGAGTTTTCAATTCTGAGCCCTTAGACGACGTGTTACGTCTGAATTTTCCGTTCTCCCAATGCAATTGTTATTCCTGTCTATTTGCCTCCAGGCAGCCCTGGATTTCGACTCCAAATTCCCGCATTGAGGGTTTTGTGGGGGGTGGGGTTGCATTTTAAGCACCCACATGGGGTCTTTGACACGCGTGTATATTTTAAAGGTATATCAATCCTAAAAACATTCGTGTTTTATAAGGGCAGTTCTGACCTACAGAAACTCTCGCGGCCGCTGGATGGCAGCGCAATGTAATGAAGCCCACCCACTTCTTGTCTCTGGGTTTTTGCAGGTTTGGGATTTAAAAAAAAAATGATGATTAGGAACCAATCAGCATCAGGAGCTAAAAAGAGGAAATGTCT